GCGGGAGGGGGGGTTGGGGAGGAGAGCTTTAGGAGAGAGCCGCACCCCGATGCTCGCCGTCGGCGGGTCCGACCCGTCGTTCGTCCAGTCGCTGTCGTCACTATCGCCCTGCAGAAGCGGCAGGCGCGGCTGAGTCAGTACAGAGGGGGAGAGGAATCGGGGACGACCGGAGCGGCAGCGGCGCGCGCACGTGCGGGGAGGGCGGGGGCGAAGGCGGAGGCGAGGGCGGGGGCGAAGGCGGAGGCGAGGGCGGGGGAGAGGGCGGCGGTGGTGACGGGGGAGGGGAGAGGGTGGCGGCGGTGAGGGCGCAGCCTCTTCGGCGGCGTCTTGCTCCATTTTCTTCTTCAGAACCTGCTCGTCGGCCTGGTCACGGAGCGTCGCGGCCTGCGCGCCGAAGCGCTCGTCCGTAATCTCCTCGTGCGTCACCCACCAGCCCTCGTTTTGCTGGTGACGCTGCCCTGGCCCATACGACGGCGCGCGGTCCCGCCGCTTGATCTGCACCTCCCAGTCGTCGGTGCCGCTGCGCTTCCTGGTCTCGATGACGTCAAAGGTCGCACTCATTGCGGGATCGACACAAATGATGGCTGCCCGCGCGCGCGCAGGACACAGAGCTTTAAAAGAAAAACGTGCTTTTCAAAGAAAACCTAACTCATTCCCGCGCCTCCCCGTCGGCCGCCTCGGCCGGCGCCACCCCGAGCAGCTCCGCGAGGCCGTGGATCGAGGCGAGGTGCGCCTCCGCCTCGGCGCACCGCACCTCCGCGCCCGTGTCTCTGTCCGTCCTCCCCACCAGCACCTGGCGGAGGAAGGGCGGAGCACGCGTGGACATGTCGCGGGGAGGGTCCCAGAGCCTTCGCGGAGGTGTACGCCTCTCTGCCAGCTGCGATCCTCGCGCACTCACGCGCAGACGCTCCGGCGCGCTGTCTTGGTGCGTGTCTGGGCTGAATCAGTCCTGGCTGCCTCTCGGCGGCATCTCGGGCTGCACCCCGTCTATATCGCGGCGACATCTCGGCGACATCTCGGCGACATCTCCGCGCCGTCCTCCAGCCAAACGCGCTGGCCGCCTGGATGTTCTTGACGCTGTCGTCGCAAAAGAGGCACGCGGCGGGGTCGGTCGCGCCTGACATGGTCAACCCCTTAACGACTTGCATGCGGCGGGGCGCAGTGTCATCAGAGAACGACTTGCATGCGGGCGATGTGTACTGCCATCAGAGAACGACTTGCATGCGGCTGTATTGTCATCAGAGAATGAGTTGCATGCGGCGGGGTGCAGTGCCATCGCATGCAGCCGACTGATCAGGCATCGGACGCGTCCTGCTGCCGGTGCTCTCCCGGCCAGCTCCTCTCCGCTAAGGCGATAGGTGTCGCTAAGGCGATAGGTGTCGCTAAGGCGATCGGTGTCGCTCACCGGCGATCCGCATCGCCGCCTCAAAGCTAGAGCGCGCCTACACAGACGACACACACGGGCGAGATGAGCACGCCAGGGAATGGCCCCGCATCGCCGCCCTCGGAGCTGGTCTCGCGCGTGTTTCGACTCGAGGCTGCACGCCTGCCAAGACCAGCAGGAAAGAGGGCCGTATAAAAAAGAAAGCCGTGGCTCGCCGTGGGACGACTCTAGGCTGCAGGCCGGGGGACCCGCTCCCACCGCCCGTACCGGCCTCTCTTCCCGAGCGCTATTCGGTTTGCTCCTCTATTCTTCGCGCCCGCGTGTCGATGATGCCCTGCCACGGGAGACCGCCGACGCCGAGCTTGGCCTGAGAGAGAGGCGGCGGAGGCGGAGGCGAGGGCGGCGGTGGCGACGGTGGCGCGGGCGACTGGGTGCGAGGGTGGCGGTGGCGGAGGCAGCGGCTAGAGCGATGGCGGCGGAGGCGATGGAGGCGGTAGCGATGGCGGCGGTGGCGATGGCGGTGGAGGTGAAAGTGGCAGAGGAGAGGGTGGCGGAGGCAGGGTGCACCATGCAGCGCGCGGCGTGCTCGGACGCCGAGGCCGTGAAGACCCAGCAGGGCGCCTACGTTCGGTCAGCCTCGGCTACTCTCGTGCGATCCCGAGGTTGGACAGCCCGTGAAGACGTGGCAGCGCGCCACGCCGAGCACGGCAGAGAGGACCTCCCGCAGCCGCGCGTCGGGCTCGATCTCGGAATAGTCAATCTTGTGCACCTTTGTGGAGGGAGGGCGGCCTGTCGAACCTCCCTACGTCTCCCCATCGCCTCCCCATATCTCCCGAACTCCTCCCCACATCTCCCCAGAGCTCGGGACCTCGGTAAGGAACTCCTCGGCGCCGGCCTCGTCGAGGATGCGCTCCACGAGCAGACCCTTGAGGCAGGTACCGTGCTCCTTGTACAGCTGGTACGCCCGGTCCTGCAGCGGTGGCAAGGGTGGCGAGGCCAGCATGTTGGTGGCGGTGTGGCGACGTGCAGTGTTTGCAGCGCAGGCGGGCGGCGGGCAAGGCCTTGCTCACGCCGAGCGTTGCGGTGTAGGCGCCGATTGACTGAGTGATGCGGCGTGCGGTGGCCCAGCCGTTCTGGTAGAGGCAGTCGTCGCAGTCGATGAAGATGTGGGTGATGCCGCGGAAGCGAGGCTGGGCGGCTGGCAGGAGCATTTGTCGGCACACAAGTGAAAACACAGCGGGCTGGGTTCGGACTTTTTGCGGGGTATGGTAGGTGTGCTCGGCTGTTCTTCACCTTTCTACCTACCTACCTACCTCGCTTTGTGTATCCCGGGAGATTACATGGTCGCTCGCCGCCTGCCTGGCCGCCCCACAGACGCTATACGTGGCAGCGATCTCGTCAGCCTCGCGCTGTCGCCCCGCCTCCGTCAGCACCTCGACAAGGTTGCGGGCCGAGCTCTGCGTCTCTTCATGCCCCTTCCCGTACCGCGCATCGCACCCCTCCAGCTCCTCCCGGAAGAGAGGGATGGCGTCCCCGAGCCTGTCCTGCTTTTGCAGCAGCGAGCCGAGGTTATAGATCGAGGAGAGCGTGCTCGGGTGCCGGTCGCCGAGCGTCTCTCGCCTCGCCGCCAGGTCCTCGCGAGACAGCGCCTCCGCGCCGTCCAGGTCGCCCTTGTCCGCCAGCAGCGAGCCGAGGTTGCCGATCGAGGTGAGCGTGTCCGGGTGCCGGTCGCCGAGCGTCTCCCGTCTCCCCTCCAGCGCCTCGCGGAACAGCGCCTCCGCGCCGTCCAGGTCGCCCTTGTCCGCCAGCAGCATGCCGAGGTTGTTGATCGAGGTGAGCGATGCGTGCTCGGGTGCCGGTCGCCGAGCGTCTCTCGCTTCGCCGCCAGCGCCTCGCGGTACAGCGCCTCCGCGCCGTCCAGGTCGCCCTTGCGATACAGCAGCCCGCCGAGGTATGGTAGGTCAGAACCCCAAAGAGGCCAGAAGTTTTAGGTAGATGGCAAATCAAGACACAGAGCTCACACAGAATCACAGCGGGAGGAAAGCGGCGAGTCGCAATTCCAGGGGTCGTTGTGGCGGGCCACCCTGTCCAGAGAGGCATGGATGCCAATCTGGGGTCTCTCGACCGAGTCTATGAGCCCTGGCCGCCTCCCGATCTTGGTGGTAAGGCCGCAGCCGAACAAGGCGACGGAGATGGCGCGGGAGAGTACGGGTGTTCCAGGGGATCACGACACGCACCGACCCTTCACGACGAGCCGAAAGGCTGTGCCTGGGGAAGGCACACAGTAATCCGGGCACGTGTTGGGCGCCCCATTCCGTTTAGGAAGTAAAAACCATAAAGACCCCCAAAAGCACGGCCCCAAGGTCAGACGCCATACGTGGCAGCGATCTCGTCAGCCTCGCGCTGTCGCCCCGCCTCCGTCAGCACCTCGACAAGGTTGCGGGCCGAGCTCTGCGTCTCTTCATGCCCCTTCCCGTACCGCGCAGTGAATCCCTCCAAGTCCTCCCGGAAGAGAGGGATGGCGTTCCCGAGCCTGCCCTGCGTCTGCAGCAGCATGCCGAGGCCGTAGACCAGGTCGAGCGTGTCCGGGTGCCGGTCGCCGAGCGTCTCCCGGCACCCCTCCAGCGCCTCGCGGAACAGCGCCTCCGCGCCGTCCAGGTCGCCCTTCTTCTTCAGCAGCAAGCCGAGGTTGCTGATCGAGGTGAGCGTGTCCGGGTGCCGGTCGCCGAGCGTCTCTCGCCTCGCCGCCAGCGCCTCGCGGAACAGCGCCTCCGCGCCGTCCAGGTCGCCCTTGGCGTACAGCAGCATGCCGAGGTTGTCGATCGAGGTGAGCGTGTCCGGGTGCCGGTCGCCGAGCGTCTCTTGGTGCCCCTCCAGCGCCTCGCGGTGCAGCGCCTCCGCGCCGTCCAGGTCGCCCTGGTCCCGCAGCAGCAAGCCGAGGTTGTCGATCGAGGTGAGCGTGTCCGGGTGCCGGTCGCCGAGCGTCTCTCGGTGCCCCTCCAGCGCCTCGCGGTACAGCGCCTCCGCGCCGTCCAGGTCGCCCTTCTTCTTCAGCAGCAAGCCGAGGTTGTAGATCGAGGTGAGCGTGCTCGGGTGCCGGGCGCCGAGCGTCTCTCGGCTTCCCTCCAGCGCCTCGCGACACAGCGGCTCCGCGCCGTCCAGGTCGCCCTGGTCCTGCAGCAGCGAGCCGAGGTTACTGATCGAGTCGAGCGTGCTCGGGTGCCGGTCGCCGAGCGTCTCCCGTCTCCCCTCCAGCGCCTCGCGAGACAGCGCCCCCGCGCCGTCCAGGTCGCCCTGGTCCTGCAGCAGCGAGCCGAGGTTGTTGATCGAGAGGAGCGTGCTCGGGTGCCGGTCGCCGAGCGTCTCTCGCCGCCCCTCCAGCGCCTCGCGGTACAGCGCCTCCGCGCCGTCCAAGTCGCCCTGGTCCTGCAGCAGTAAGCCGAGGTTGTTGATCGAGGAGAACGTCTTCGGATGCCGGTCGCCGAGCGTCTCTCGGCACCCCTCCAGCGCCTCGCGAAGCAGCGCCTCCGCGCCGTCCAGGTCGCCCTTGGCCGCCAGCAGCACGCCGAGGCTGTTGATCGACATGAGCGTGTCCGGGTGCCGGTCGCCGAGCGTCTCTCGGCTCGCCGCCAGGTCCTCGCGGAACAGCGCCTCCGCGCCGTCCAGGTCGCCCTTGGCCTCCAGCAGCGAGCCGAGGTTGTTGATCGAGGAGAGCGTGCTTGGGTGCCGGTCGCCGAGCGTCTCTCGGCTCGCCGCCAGCGCCTCGCGGAGCAGCGCCTCCGCGCCGTCTAGGTCGCCCTGGTCCCGCAGCAGCAAGCCGAGGTTGTTGATCGAGCCGAGCGTCTTCGGATGCCGGTCGCCGAGCGTCTCTCGCCGCCCCTCCAGCGCCTCGCGGTCCAGCGCCTCCGCGCCGTCCAGGTCGCCCTGGTCCCGCAGCAGCAAGCCGAGCTGGTTGATCAGGTTCGACGTCGCCCTCTCCGCCGGCTCCATCCGCTCCAGCGCCGCCCTCCCCTGCCCCGCCAGCGCCCCCCGCAGCAGCCCAAACACAGCCTTGTTGCACTCGGTCAGGCCACCTGGGAGGGTCTCCAGCTCGCCCAGGATCTGCTCCGTGTCTCTCGGGTTGCGGCACTCCGCCTTGCGCACATCCACCTCGGACAGCTTCGTCGCGATCGAGTCAAAGTCCTCCACGAGCGCCGTCTCAAAGGCCGCCTGCTGCTCCGCGCTCATCACCACCTCGAAGCGCGCGCCCGACGCCTGCGTGTGGAACACCTCCTTGATGCAGTACGCGCGCCGCAGCGGCGACGGGTCGTACCACGGCTCCATGAGCAGAACCGTGTGGCCGACGGCGCGGACGCAGTCGCCGAGCCGCTTGACGTCGTTCATCGTGACGTCGAGCTGCCGCGTCGACTGGCGGATCACAAAGTCGCAGACCCAGAACTTGGTGTCGGGCGGCAGCTCTGGGTGGAGCCGCAGGTACTGCCGCAGGGCGTCCACCAGCGTCGCGAGCGGCGTCTCGAGGAACCAGCTCACAAAGACGGTGGCGACGCCCACGCCAGGGTCGCCGCACTCGTACAGCGCCTCGCAGTACGCCTTGCCTCCGTCCGCCTCGCTCCGCCTCGCGATCTGCCACTGGTTGACGTAGCCGTTGAGGGTGGCGTTGGCGGGGACGCGGACGCCGTTGATGGTGGGCCGGTTCTCGTTGCACTGCTCGACGACGTCGGCGGGGAGGGCGGTGATGTACTCCTCGATCGCGTCGACAGACAGGCCGAGGGTCAGCCGCTCCGGGAGGTTGCGCTCGGCGGCCCGCTGCGAGACGAGGTCGGCGTTCAGTGCTGCCCGAAGAACAGAGGCGGTTGCTGCGTGTGCAGCGAGCCGGTCGGGGGAGAGAGAAGCGGCGATTCGCGTGGTCGATGCGGCAGTAGGGGTGGTGGCGTCGGCAACGCCGGGCAAAGAAGCCGAGCAGCCCATGAGAAGCCGAGACGTTGCCGACGACAGCGTGCCACAATTCGCGCGGGTGTTCTCGAGGTTCTCGAGGTGGATATCCTTAAGATACAAGCCTCTCTCACAGCACACTGGCACGACAAGGGCGCAGACTGGCGCGGACTGGCACACACACAGGCTCACCACCGGAGCCGCCTAAGCGACTCCGTTAAGAACGGCAATGCACTCCGCACCATGCACAATGCCGCTCTCCCCGCACGCTAGCTCGTTCACCGTCTGCCACGCCACGGCGGTGTGGAGGACGACAGACAAGCGCTGCATCTGCAGCCCGTGCCAGTTCTTGGTGGTCCATGTGACCTCGTCCAGGTGCTGAGCGTGCGAAAGTTTGTTGCTCAGCTGGTTCGCCGCCTCCCTCAGGGTGCTGCGAACCTCCTTTCCAAAGCCTCCGAAAGCCTCAAAATCAAACAAACGTAGATCGCAATCCTGCTGCCGCGCAAAGGGGTAATCGCCAGGCTGCTCCTTGAGCTTTCCCTTGGGGGCATCCTCCTCCTCCCCCTCCTCCCCCTCCTCCTCGGCCTCCTCCTCCTCCCCCGCCACCGCCGCTGCCGTCGCTTCCGACGGAGACCACTTGCCGCGCCCTTTGACCAACTTGAGCAGCCCGGTCTCCGTGTTGCCAAAGCGCACATAGGCCCCCTTCCAGCCGAGCTCTCCGTCGCCGGCCGTGTCCTTGCCCGTGCTCGCAAGCGAGCTCGTGAGCTTCAAATCGGCAACGAGGCGCCTGTGCCCCCTGCCGATGTTTGCCGCCGCCACGTCAGGTTGTTTTGGATTACTGTAACTGAGGTGTGCAGTCGGCTCCATCTCGATGATCATGCCCCACGCCGAGCGGAGGCATTTGACCAAACGTTTGAGTAGAAATTTGTGTCTTGTAGCATGCTTTGACCGAGGGTTAACCATCGCGGCGTCGCCAAGGGCGTCGTGTAGCTGGCCGCTGGGTGCCCTCTTGCCTGCCTCCACCGCCTGGCAGGCGACATCAAGGGGGAGCCCAAGGCGGCGCTGGACGGTGTAGTCCGCCCCGCTCCTCCCCATCGGGCCGCGTGAGCGGCCACGCCTCGCAGATTCGTTTTCGCGCCTGGGTCAGGCGCGCGGGGTATGGTAGGTCGTCGAGCCCGCTGCGTGTAGCCCTTGATTAATAAAAACCATAAAGACGAAAAAAGCACGGCCTCACGTGTAGCCCTCCTTTTGGAATAATAAACAAAACTCAACTCGACCCAGCTCGAAGGGAGCCCGGGAGATTACATGGTCGCTCGCCGCCTGCCTGGCCGCTCCAAGGTCAGACGCCATACGTGGCAGCGATCTCGTCAGCCTGGCGCTGTCGCCCGGCCTTCTCCAGCAGCGCGACAAGGTTGCGGGCTGAGCCCCTCGTCTCGTCATCCCCCTTTCCGTACCGCGCAGCGCACCCCTCCAGCTCCTCCCGGAAGAGCGGGATGGCTTCCCCGAGCCTGCCTTGCTTCTGCAGCAGCGAGCCGAGGTTGTAGATCGAGGTGAGCGTGCTCGGGTGCCGGGCGCCGAGCGTCTCTCGGCTTCCCTCCAGCGCCTCGCGACACAGCGGCTCCGCGCCGTCCAGGTCGCCCTGGTCCTGCAGCAGCGAGCCGAGGTTGCTGATCGAGCCGAGCGTGTGCGGGTGCCGGTCGCCGAGCGTCTCTCGCCTCCCCTCCAGCGCCTCGCGGTACAGCGCCTCCGCGCCGTCCAGGTCGCCCTTGGCCTTCAGCAGCGCGCCGAGGTTGCTGATCGAGGTGAGCGTGTCCGGGTGCCGGTCGCCGAGCGTCTCTCGCCTCCCCTCCAGCGCCTCGCGGTACAGCGCCTCCGCGCCGTCCAGGTCGCCCTTGTCCGCCAGCAGCAAGCCGAGGTTGTTGATCGAGTTGAGCGTCTTCGGGTGCCGGTCGCCGAGCGTCTCTCGGCTCGCCTCCAGGTCCTCGCGGAACAGCGCCTCCGCGCCGTCCAGGTCGCCCTTGGCATACAGCAGCGAGCCGAGGTTGTTGACCGAGCCGAGCGTGCTCGGGTGCCGGTCGCCGAGCGTCTCTCGGCTCGCCGCCAGCGCCTCGCGAAGCAGCGCCTCCGCGCCGTCCAGGTCGCCCTGGTCCTGCAGCAGCGAGCCGAGGTTGCTGATCAAAGTGAGCGTGCTCGGGTGCCGGTCGCCGAGCGTCTCTCGGCTCGCCGCCACGTCCTCGCGGAACAACGCCTCCGCGCCGTCTAGGTCGCCCTTGTCCGCCAGCAGCAAGCCGAGGTTGCTGATCGAGGTGAGCGTCTTCGGGTGCCGGTCGCCGAGCGTCTCTCGGCTCGCCGCCAGCGCCTCGCGGAGCAGCGCCTCCGCGCCGTCTAGGTCGCCCTTGGCCTTCAGCAGCAAGCCGAACTGGTTGATCGAGTTGAGCGTGCTCGGGTGCCGGTCGCCGAGCGTCTCTCGCTTCGCCTCCAGCGCCTCGCGGTACAGCGGCTCCGCGCCGCCCAGGTCGCCCTTGTCCTTCAGCAGCGCGCCGAGGTTGTTGATCGAGGTGAGCGTCTTCGGGTGCCGGTCGCCGAGCGTCTCTCGGCACGCCTCCAGCGCCTCGCGGAACAGCGCCTCCGCGCCGTCCAGGTCGCCCTTGGCGTACAGCAGCGAGCCGAGGTTGTTGATCGAGATGAGCGTGCTCGGATGCCGGTCGCCGAGCGTCTCTCGGTGCCCCTCCAGCGCCTCGCGGAGCAGCGCCTCCGCGCCGTCCAGGTCGCCCTGGTCCTGCAGCAGCAAACCGAGCTGGTTGATCAGGTTCGACGTCGCCCTCTCCGCCGGCTCCATCCGCTCCAGCGCCGCCCTCCCCTGCCCCGCCAGCGCCCCCCGCAGCAGCCCAAACACAGCCTTGTTGCACTCGGTCAGGCCAACCTCCCGCTCCAGCTCGCCCAGGATCTGCTCCGTGTCTCTCGGGTTGCGGCACTCCGCCTTGCGCACATCCACCTCGGACAGCTTCGCCGCGATCGACTCAAAGTCCTCCACCAGCGCCGTCTCAAACGCCGCCTGCTGCTCCGCGCTCATCACCACCTCGAAGCGCGCGCCCGACGCCTGCGTGTGGAACACCTCCTTGATGCAGTACGCGCGCCGCAGCGGCGACGGGTCGTACCACGGCTCCATGAGCAGAACCGTGTGGCCGACGGCGCGGACGCAGTCGCCGAGCCGCTTGACGTCGTTCATCGTGACGTCGAGCTGCCGCGTCGACTGGCGGATCACAAAGTCGCAGACCCAGAACTTGGTGTCGGGCGGCAGCTCTGGGTGGAGCCGCAGGTACTGCCGCAGGGCGTCCACCAGCGTCGCGAGCGGCGTCTCGAGGAACCAGCTCACAAAGACGGTGGCGACGCCCACGCCAGGGTCGCCGCACTCGTACAGCGCCTCGCAGTACGCCTTGCCTCCGTCCGCCTCGCTCCGCCTCGCGATCTGCCACTGGTTGACGTAGCCGTTGAGGGCGGCGTTGGCGGGGACGCGGACGCCGTTGATGGTGGGCCGGTTCTTGTTGCACTGCTCGACGACGTCGGCGGGGAGGGCGGTGATGTACTCCTCGATCGCGTCGACAGACAGGCCGAGGGTCAGCCGCTCCGGGAGGTTGCGCTCGGCTGCCCGCTGCGAGACGAGGTCGGCGTTCGGTGCGGCCGGAAGAACAGTGACGCTTGCTGCGCGTGCAGCGAGCAGGTCAGGGGAGAGGGAAGCGCCGCTGCGCGCGGCCAATGCGGCAGGAGCGGCGGTGGCGTCGGCAACGCCGGGCAAAGAAGCCGAGCAGCCCATGGCGATCGGAATCGTTGGGAAGGCCGCTGCGTTTGAGGGGACGTGCAGTTCAGCGTCTGACGCTGGGGCTCAAGTTGAGCGTGTGTACTGTGAGGTGAAAACCCGCTGGGACCCGGACGCCAGCACACACGAGGGTGTGGTCACGATCCCAGGCCGCTGCTCAAAGCCCCACCGGGGTACGCGCCCAGCCCCCTTACAAGCCGTACGTACGAGATGTGTTTGTACGTACTTATGGGGGGGAGAGAGAGAAAGATTTTTTTTGTGTTTTGTACGTATGGTCCCTACCCTTCCGGGGGGGGGGGGGGGGGGGCGCGGAAAAGCAACAAAAGTGGAACCTACCTATGGTTGAGGCCAACCCTTTTCCTGGCTCACAAGCTGAAGATGTTGACGGGCCCCCCTCCGGAGCCCCGGGTACTCTTTAGCTGTACTCGTCTAGGCAGGGGTTGGGTTAGGCTGGTGGGTTAGGTTCAGTTGCGCTGCGGTACCTCCAAGTATCGTAGTCTTTGTTAGTATCGAGGTCTCGCGAGTTTTGGGGGTTCTCGGCGTAGCGACAGCGCTGCGAGCCGCGCGATGCCACGGCGCTCGGCCTGCTGAGAGAAGAGCTTCCCGGACGGCAGTGACAAGTTACCCGACATCAATCGTCGACGGCAACCTCGAGAACTGCGCCTCCAAAGTCGCCCAGATTCGCCTCTCGCGGCGCGCTGAGTTAGTATCGCCGGTGCGCCAGCAGGCTCTGCTCCACAGCAGGGCATGCCCGACTGGCTCCTGCTAGCCGTGCGTCCTGGTGGCATCCATTGCCAGCTCAGGTAGCCTCAGGAGGTCGCCTCGCGCACGACGCGGCGTCGCACAGCACCGCTCAGCGTTACTACCGAGTTAGTATCGTCGACCCACAGAGCCTGCTCTTCTGTAGGTGGAGCCGACAAACGCCGGCCGGGTCGGCGCCGCCGCCCCCATCGCCGCCGCCGGGGCGGCGGCGGCCTCGGCGGACCATCCGGCGCGCCGCGCGCCCGTCGGGGAGGTGTTCACCACCCCTGGCTCCTCACCCCGCCACGCCTTCGTGCGGACGCCGTGGCACCCACCTCAGGCGCCGCTCGGACTCGGTTGACGGCCACCCAAGTGCTTGGCTCATGCCAAGCCGACCGGCAGGCGATTCCCAGTCACTGCTAGGCTAATCTCGGGCTGTCCTGCGTCAGTGTGGTGCCGTGAGGGGCGCCGCCCCCAAAACTACGATCGTTAGTACCGTGCGGGGGCAGTGCATTTAATTCTGTCAAAAATCCAAATCTGCTCCGTGGCGCTTATTGGGCTAGGATCATACGTCCGGGAGGCCCCCCATGCGTGCCGTAACGATCGACAGCGATCTGGCTACTCTGTTCACGTTCACACCTCGTAAACCCCCCATAACCCCGATACAGGAGGTATTGGGTTAGGCGGCCTCGTTTTGCGGACTCATGCGGACGACGGTCGTGCAGGAGATCGAGCTGGAGCGCTTCGACGTGCTCAAGATCCAATCCATCGACACTGTCTCGCAGTCCTTCAACGCGCGCTGCCTCGTCCGTCTCCGGCTCATCGGAGCCAAGGCCCGCCGGGAGGCGTTCGTCACCTTCAAAGACGGCCGCGCCACCGAATCGGTCGAGTGGTTTGCAAGGCAAATCGAGCCGTACAACTCCTTTGAGCACGACTCGTGCAAGCTGATAGATGAGAAACCAAAGATCACGGACGCCGGCGACGACCTTCTTATCCAGCTGCGGTTCGAGGGGCGCTTCTACCAGCCGATGCGGCTGCACGCATTTCCCTTCGACTCGCAAGAGCTGCGCATCGAGTTTCTCATTCTCTGCCGCGTCGACGGCCCCGTACCGGCCAAGGTGATCGTATCGCCTGGTGTGGAAAGCAGCCTCGTGGATAGGGGCTTCGCACCCCGCTTCCAGTGGCAGCCAACCGGGGGCGTGCATTGCTTCGTCGACGAGCACAAGGCAAACGGGCGCATTTTCCCCAAGTTTGGCGCTACGGCGAGAGTGGCGCGGAAGTCCCGCTTCTACGTCACCAACGTCGCGCTCCCCACCGCCGTCTTTTCCGGCCTCGCCTTCACCCTCTTCGCCGCGCAACCGTCGGAGCCTTTGGAACGCCTATCGGTGCCGCTCCGGACTCCTGACCGAGATGTGTGCTCCCATGCTATCGTCACGGTTTCCGCTGCCGAGTTATAGGTCGCCTTCACGCTCCTCCTGACGATGGCGGCGTACAAGATCACGGTGGCGGGCATGATCCCGCAGGCAGTAGAGCCTCCGCGCCGGGAGAGGGAGAGGGGAGGGAGGGAGGAGAGGTGGGGAAGTTTTGCGGCGTCTGCCGGAGTTAGTGCCACAGCTCTCGACTTAGGTGTCCTACGAGACCTTGCTTGACCAATTCCTGCTCTGCAACTTCTTCCTTCTCGTGGCGATGGCGGTCGTCAGCGCGCTCCTGCCGCAAGTGGGACATGACGCGGAGGATTTGGCCGACCGCGTCTGCTTGGCGCTTCTCGGCGCGGTTTGGTGCCTGATCCAGGCGTGGTTCGTGGCCAAGGCGTGGTCGCGAAAGGACTGAACGTGGGGTCGAGTGGTAGAAAGAAAAAGTAATTTATCTTTACTTCCAACAAGAGGTGATGGAAAGTTCGACAGTCGACTCAAGACGAGTAGGGGACAAGTCAAGAGCCGGCGCCTCCACCGCGCGCTCCCCCCTACGGCTTTAGTTTGCGCTCCGGGAGTCTTGACGAACGGGCGGCCCGCCGAGTTGCGCTGTCCCAGAGGAGGACGCCATGGGGATGTCCGCGAGCGAGGGAGGGGCAGGCTAGGCGAAGAGAGCCATGCGTGCTTCGCTGATGTTTGGAGAAGGCCGCTCCACGACCTTCGAGTGATGACGGGCCACGTGATTGTCGGGCGCTGTACTCGCTCGGGATGTCTCTGCGTGGTCAAGGGCTCGAACATGACCTCACCTCCCTTCCGTCTTCTTGCCTCCCCCCATGGCCGTCGCCGAGGGTGCGCAGCTAGCTCCGTACGCGCAGCTTCTCTATCTAGCTCCACGCGCAGCTGCGGCTGTCACGCGCGCTACGCACGCAGTGCGCACGCTTCCGACCGAGCAGCTTTGAACGCGCACAGCTCGGCGCTGAACGCAATCCGCGACACTCCCCCTCTGTCAGCGCTGCGGCAGCATGCCGTCGTCGAGATCGCGTCGTCGAGATCGCGTCTCAGCTGAAAAGACTGGACCCCGACATCCAATCGCCAGCTTGCTTGAAGTGAACTACTCAGAGTTGGAGTGGTCGAGGCGCGAGATTGGAGGATAGGCTGAGTCTGAGGCCAAGAAGATGATTGCGACGTCATTCACGAGAGTGTCGCGGTCGTAATCGGGGTGCTGCACGATCCTGACACCAAAGCAGGATATTGCCACCGGCGACGTCTCTGACGGGATGGAACTCGACGCATGGGTCGGACCCGTGTCTAACCTTATGCTACGCTGTCTGCCCAATCACAACAACCCGCCACGCCTTTCAACGCAGTGCGCCGCCGTCGCCACCATGTTTGGTAGGATGAGGATGCCGCCGCAGCAGGTGGATCTGGATCCGGTATATTTGTAGCATTCGAGAGCAACGAGGAGAGGATACTGCCGCGGGTGTTCGAGACCGAGAGGCTTGCGTCAATGCGGCGGCGGCGGCTGCACGTCGACTCAGGTCCCACTGTGTGTTTTATGTGGCGGCTTGCGTCAATGCGGCGGCGGCGGCTGCACGTGTCGACTCAGGTCCTCCCGATGTGAGACCAATGCCGGCCAAGCAGGAGGGCGGCGATGGGGGCGAGGGTGGGGGCGGCGGCGGCGGGGGCAAGCAGGGACGGAGAAGGCGAGCATTGGAGGTGCTCCGCTGTCTGTCCGGGACTCGCACCTGAGGCTTGTCCCATTGCAGAGGATCTCGCCCCGGCAGCCACTGTCAACCCACATGATGCCTTCACCCTCGCACCCAAAACTGCTGCCTTCCCGACAGCCGGCATTGCTCAGCTGCCGTGTAAGAGTCACGTAGAGGCACGGCGTCTTAGGCGGCGGGGGGAGGTGGCGACAGCGTGGGGGGCGGTATAGGGGCAGATGGCGGCGGCGTGGGAGGTGGGCGTGGTGGAGGTGGGGACGGCGATGGCGGCGGCGGCGAGCCGGTTGGTGGTGGGGGCGATGGCGATGGCGGCGGCGGCAAGTTGGTTGGTTGTGGTGGCTGCGGCGATGCTATGGCGGCGCAGGAGCAGAGGTGAAGGTGCGCATCCTCTGCAACCCCTGCCGAGACCTCAGGCCGAGACCGGCGGAGTGATCCGGCAGCGGCCTAGCGTGCGTCCACGAGACGACCCAATCGTTTCATTGCGTTGCAATGAACGTCGTGGCAAGATTCTGAGGAAAAGGGGTTTTAGGTATGTAGGGGTGAATAGGATCGATCCGGGTCAGATCTCATGGACGCTGCAGGGACGCGATCTCGACGACGGCATGCTGCCGCAGCGCTGACAGAGGGGGAGTGTCGCGGATTGCGTTCAGCGCCGAGCTGTGCGCGTTCAAAGCTGCTCGGTCGGAAGCGTGCGCACTGCGTGCGTAGCGCGCGTGACAGCCGCAGCTGCGCGTGGAGCTAGATAGAGAAGCTGCGCGTACGGAGCTAGCTGCGCACCCTCGGCGACGGCCATGGGGGGAGGCAAGAAGACGGAAGGGAGGTGAGGTCATGTTCGAGCCCTTGACCACGCAGAGACATCCCGAGCGAGTACAGCGCCCGTGAGTGAGTGAGTATTCTTGATACGAAACCACGACGACACACACCAGTCGACTCGCATCGGTTGCCTCCATGAACGGCGGAGCTATTCTCGCGCCCACACCACACTCACACACACACACTACAGAGGGTAGGTAGGTAGGTAGGAAGGTGAAGAACAGTCAGGCTCGGACTGGACACCAACGCGGTATGGGTGGACGCAAGACAGATGATGACGACACGCACGAGCGACACACAGACACAAACAAGCTCACAAGACACACAGCCAGCGGGCTGCCACACACCCTGAGTAGGCGTACACATCACTCCAGGGCCACGCCCCTCCTGTCGCCCCCCCCAGCACTCCAAGGTGCCAAGGGAACAAACAAGGACACAACAAACAACAGACGACAGAAAGTGACGTGCGAGGCTAGAGCAGGCTTGCTCTACCTCTAGCAATCTCGCCGGCCGGCGAGGCACGGACGAGACCGTGTGTGGGGTCAGTGAGGTGTCTATGGTCGCCCTCCTCACGGGCTAGCCGCCAGCGGCTATCCCTATCTCGCACTCACTGGCGGTGACAATTCAATGTGTGAGTGTTTGCGAACAGAGGCACGTGTGCTAATTCTAGGCCGCACGTCGTGGCACTATGACGAAGGTAGACGTGCGGCTGCAGCGCGCCCGCCGCAGGCTCGGCGGTGCGCGCGTGTTAGCGATAAAGTTGCGGGTAGAGCCGTTCCCGACTTGTCGAAGGCGAGGCCTCTGCGACGAGTGCCAGTCGCGCTGCGGAGCCACGCCCTTCGAGCCGCGTCCCGTCGGCACTACCCTCGAGTGCTGTCGCCTTGGTTGGCGACACCCACTCGTCGAGGGCAGTCCGGCCGACGGGAGCCTGTCGCGCGCCGGCGACGAATGCGGCGGGGTGGGTGTGGGTACAAAGCGCCGCTTCGACGAATGAGGTTGGCAGGCTCCCCTCACGAGTCCGTTCAGACATGCCACACGCCCCTCGCAAGCGAGGTTAGTAGGCGCCCCTGGCGAGACCCGCAAGAGATGCGCCACCCCCCTCGTACCTATACTCCACCAATGAGGAGGTGAAAAGATCTTATCAGCCAGGCGGGCAGGGCAGGCGGGCAGGCGGGCGGGGTCAGGGAAGAGGGCCCTCGGGTTACGCCTCGCCCGGCCCCCTCCGAGGGGGGAAGGGGAAAGAGGGGGGGCCCTCGGGGTGCGCCTCGCCCGGCCCCCTCCGAGGGGGGAAGGGAACTATTCTCTGTCCATCTACAGCGTGGGTGGTGGTACACTGCGTCGAGACAGCTCCGCGTCGCGCCCTCCCTTCCTGGAATACTTACGAATACCCAGAACCCGACAATCACGTGGCCCGTCATCACTCGAAGGTCGTGGAGCGGCCTTCTCCAAACATCAGCGAAGCACGCATGGCTCTCTTCGCCTAGCCTGCCCCTCCCTCGCTCGCGGACATCCCCATGGCGTCCTCCTCTGGGACAGCACAACTCGGCGAGCCGCCCGTTCATGACTCGGAGCCGGCATCGCAGCTGCTCGTCGACGCGACAAGCCCCTTCACCATCCTCCACGCCTCACCCGCCTGGTGCCGCCTGACCGGCTACACGGCGGCGATGGCCGTTGGCCGGCCGATCGCGTTCCTGCACGGGCCCCTTACGTGCAGCGAGACGCTGACTGCACTGGGCGTGGCGATGCAATACGGCAAGCCGCTGCGCGTCATGCTCGTCTCGTACACCGCCAACGGAGAGCCCTACCTCAACTGCGTCGACTCTCGGTGAGGGGAGAAGGGAGTGCAAGAGAGGGAGAGCGAGCTCGGAGCGAGTCGGGGGTGAGGGGAGAGGTACGGCGCGACAGAGCCGAGCCGGCTGTGGCGAGCGGCATTCGCATCGCTCCAACCAGCTTGGTGCCAGACAGTGCCTCGCCGGCATCGCCTTGCAGCCGCTGCTCCATCCGCCGTCCCCGCCTCCGCCGCCTCCTCCTTCCCCGCCCACCGCACCTCCGCCTCCACCGCTGACCGCACCCCTGCCCTCGCAGACCCGTCAGCGACTCGTCCGGCAAGCTCGCAGCGTTCCGGTGGGAGGTGTGTGCGACGCCTGCGCCCTCCTCTCCTCTCGCCTGCCCTCGCCCCTCCTCAGCCCTCCTCAGCCCTCCTCTCCCCTCCCC